ATCCTCCATCAATCTTTCCTCAAATTTATATTATTTTGAGAGAAAACTAAGTGTTTTCAAGAGAGTGTTTTGTCATCCATTAGAGCTTTAATCATTTCTCTTATCTACTCTTTTGAGAGCTATTGTTGAGAGGTTGAAGAAGATTGTTCTTCTTGTTGTTCAAGGCTTATGTGATTTAAGTCTTGGTTGTGAAGTCTTGTAAAGGGCATATCTACGAGCGATTGTGTCTAGGCTTGTGGGATTCAAGTTCTCGAGTTGTAAACGGTTTGTTAAGCACCCGTAAGCTTAACGGAAGTAGTGGTAGCTTCGAGAGAGTCTCTCGGGGAACTGGACTAGCCACGAGGTGGTGAACCAGTATACATCGGTGTGTTCTTTGCCTTCTCTCTTTTATTTCCGCTGCACTTACGTTTATATTATTAATCCTGCAAAAATCGGTAAACATTCTCAACAACTCTATTCACCCCCCCCCCTCTAGAGTTGCACGCCTTGTCTAACACACATTTAATATCCTGACGGTTCAAAAAAAGCGACGAGGTAAAGAACCGTAAAGAAACCCTCGAAGGAGCTTATATATCGCTCACCTAAAAAAACTAATTACATATCTACATTAACATAAAAAAATTATAACTTATTCTTCAGAACTTGGACTTCCATCTGTTGTTGCATTCATGTAATGCTCCGATTCGAGTAGGTACGATGACTCTTGAGCTCGACGTCTTGCCAAGAGCCAATCTTGGTTGCAAACCAGTGTTTCAAGAGATTCAGCGCTAAGACAACTTCGAAAGTCGGTTAGAATGTTGCCGCTAGCACTGAATTCTCGTTCAACTGCTACGGTTGATACTGGAACGGATAACACTTGTCTTGCTAGCATGCCGAGACATGGGAACATGTGTTCGTTCCGCTTCCACCATACGAGCACATCAAAATCCACGTCGTCGTCGTCGTAATCGCATGGCACACCCTGGTACATAGCAAGTTCGTTGTACGTGCGAGCTTACTGTTGTACCACTTGAACTCGTCGAAGAATGAGCACGCTTCCCTTTCTTTGCAAGAAGACCACCGACTATTCCGGCAAAACCTTTTTTTGATTTCGGGGGCGGAGGTGGTGCTGCTTCTTCTTGTACAGTGCCGTATAACCCCTGATATTCCTCAAACAAATTCTCAAAAAAAGTTACAGCATTATCTCTTTCTTTTTTCCATTCTACTAAATGACTGTAGTAATAACTATTTTCATCTAAAAAACAACTGTAGTAATACTCAATTAAAATTTTATAATTTTCAATCTTAAAGCGTGGATCACAAATAATACCTATTTTATAAATATCAGGAATGTACAAATAATAAGCACACCATTTTTGTATCATAGGAGAGACATATAGGTACAAATCTGGATCAGCCTTACTTTCACGAAAACATGTTGCGATTGTAACGCACTCTTTTAAAAATGTATTTGTAGTTGGTTGGTAAACATGAGAAAAAGTAAGAGTTGCGTTATTAAAAACTTCTAATACGGCATTCAATTTTTCAACAATAACAAATTCAAAAGGATCAATGATTATACGAAGTTCATCCCTAAAAAATTCAGCAAGTTCCTCTTTATATTTTAGAATCTG